ACCTGCTGGTCAATTTTTATCTAGGTCAAACCTATCCAGGTCTTTCAATTTCCCTCTGTAGAATTGTAGTTTCTACACTGCTGATTGTCTTTATTGCCCTTTCTCAGACCCTATTATCTGTGAAGCCCTCTTGGGGTGTGGTCTCCGGAAGTGGACAGTTCTTCAGGTGATGTGTTCTTCAAAGCCTCTTTTTCTTCCAGGTTCTGAATCAGCTGGAGGCGTGCGGCATTGTAGCAACTGTCCACATCAGTGCAGCTGGCTTTCCAGTTAGGTAAAGCTACTCCAGAGTTTGCTTTTCTTTTCGTCATTTGTGATTAACCTGACTTGCATTTTTCCTGCATTTTTCTCTCATTGCCCTAATCACATGTGGAAATGAGATAATAGATGATTTATATCAGTGGTGGCGAACCTATGGCATGAGTGCCAGAGGCGGCACTCAGAGCCCTCTCTGTGGGCACGTGCGCCCTCGCCCCAGTCCTAGGCCTTCAGCTGGGTTTTATAAAACCTTTTTGCTTTAGGCCTCCGCCACCGTGTGCAAAAAAAAAAGGTTCAATCAATCAGTCAATTTCAACTTCTCGCGGGGAAAAAAAAGATCTTGCAAAGTTGGAATTGATTGATTGAACTTTTTAGTCCCACCCAGTCTGCCGTTCCTACCGCAGCCACGCCTACCCAATGGGCCACACCCACCCAATTGGCCACACCCAGCCAATGGGCCACACCCACCTGGCACCCGATGATGCATAAGTGGGTTTTGGGTTGCAGTTTGGGCACTCAGTCTCTAAAAGGTTCGCCATCACTGATTTATATACTTAATTATCGGTCATCTCATTCCCAAACATCATCTGTTGGGTTGTGGGTGGGGGGAGAGGATCCCCCCCCCGTTTCTTTTCTTTTCTTTTTATAAATAAAATTCCCTGCAAGCCAAACCCACACAATAGATGTAAGGAAGTTTCCAGCAGCTTTCTGCTCTTAAGGTATTTATTTGTTATTTGCAGGTTGGGTAATTGGGTTTTACTTTACACTAGAGGCCTTTTGTTTATATCCGAATTAACCCTAGAATTAATGTGGCTCTTTGGCTACATTACTCACATAACATACAGCAAGTTTCAGTTGATATTCCTGATAGCATCAAAGAAAGCTATTAGTTTACTACTGGTAATTTTTCTAAGTATGTACTATTTTGTACTTCTGCAATTGTTTGGGGGATTCTCTCCAGCCTGCGGGTCCCATTTGCAACATCCTGAACTTTAGAAATAGAACTATTTAAAGCAGCTTCTAGGTCCGTGGTGGTGAACCTATGGCACGCATGCCACAGGTGGCACAGAGAGCCCTCTCTGTGGGCATGCGCACCATCGCCCCAGTCCTAGGCCTTCAGCTGGGTTTTATAAAACCTTTTTGCTTTAGGCCTCCGCCGCCGTGTGCAAAAAAAAAAGGTTCAATCAATCAGTCAATTTCAACTTCTCGCGGGAAAAAAAAAGATCTCGCAAAGTTGGCATTGATTGATTGAACTTTTTAGTCCCACCCAGTCTGCTGTTACCACCAAAGCCACGCCCACCCAATGGGCCCCGCCCACCCAGTGGGCCACACCCACCCGGCACCCGATGATACATAAGTGGGTTTTCGGTTGATCAAACCCATGAGCCAGAGATTTTCCAAACGGTAGTGACAAGATCCAACTGTCTAAGAAACTAAACCTTAGGGAGTAACGGGTTCCTATGTAAGTAACAATTTTATTTATTTTCACATCATTATTGATGGGGATACGTAGAGGGAAATAGTATCGGTCCAGGAAGTATTTACGGTGTAAAGAGTCCCGACACTCTTAAATTTCTTTTAGGAGGACCAGGAAAGGTCCATCTTTAATCAGAGCCAGATGCAAAGGAGTAGCTGAAGAATCAGGGTGGGGGTGGGGTATAGGAATGGCGGGGTGGGGGTGGAGAGCAAGAAAGTAAAAGAGAAAGTTACGCTTCTGCAATTCATTTAATTACATCTGTTGGACATATCAGTTGCATATGGTTAGTCCTCAACTTACAAGCATTCATTTAGTGATCGTTCAAAGTTATAATGGCACTGAAAAAAGTGACTTATGACCGTTTTTCAGCGTCCTCCCAGTTAGGGGATCAAAATTTGGGTGCTTGACAGTTGGCAAATATTTATGACAGTTGCCCTGTCCAGAGGTCATTGAACCTAGAACTAAGGAGAAATTTCCTGACAGTGAGGACAATTAATCAGTGGAACAATCTGCCTCCAGAAGCAGTGAATGCTCCATCACTGGAGATTTTTAAGAAGAGACTGGACAACTATTTGTCTGAAATGGGATAGGGCAGTGATGGCGAACCTTTTAGAGACCGAGTGCCCAATAACTTGCCCTGCCCCCACTCCACACCCTGCCCCACCCACACCCTGCCTGCCCGCAGGGCCACTTACTGCCTCCAGGGCCCGCCCAGGCAGCCCAGCAGCACCATTGCGGCCATGCCCTCTGCCTGTGCCCTGCAGCATCAACTGTGTGCGATGGGGCATGAGGGCAGAGTCTTGTCTACGATGCCTGGCTGCCATGTCCTTGGCTGCGCTGCTCCGCGTGGACCACGCTCGGAGACGACTCTCCTCCAGGGCGACTGCTGGGAGGAGGCAAGGCTGGGGCAATGGCATGTGTGCTCACAGAGAGGGCTCCGAGTGCCGCCTCTGGCACGTGTGCCATAGGTTCGCCACCACTGGGATAGGGTTTCTTGCCTGAGCAGGGGGTTGGACTAGATGACCTCCAAGGTCACTTCCAACTCTATTATTGTTGTTGTTGTTATTATTATCAACCTTCCCAGCTGGCTTCCGACAAGCAAAGTCAATGGGGAAGAATCATGTGGCCGCTTTAATCACCACATGGTTCACTTAACAGTTGTGGCAAAAAAGGTCATAAAATGGGGCAAAACTCATAACTGCCTTGCTTAGCAATGGAAATTTTGGGCTCAGTTGTGGTCGTAAGTCAAGTATCAACGCTGCTAACATCGGATGTTCTTGCTTTGACAACAGATGGAAGTGTAGCCATCTTTTTCCCTTTCACTTTTAGAGTTAGATGATGCTGGGAGGGGGGGATGTGAATGAGAGTCCAGCTAGACATAACAACACTAAACTTAGTGTGAGAATCAAGGTTATTGACCCCAGAGCTGATAAAGAATTGGTGGGCTGGAGAACTGGAGAGGAAGCCCGAGCTTCAAGCTAATTGGGGGATGTGATTTATGACTGTTAATTGGAGGAGGGAATTATGCTTTGGTACTATGTGCCCAGGAGAGGGGAAATCAGTTTTTGGCTTCGGTTATGTAGTGCCAATATTATGCTACTCGAATAAGGTAAACAATGCCTCGAAGTTCTTTTAAAGAGTTTCATCTGTCGGAACCATGACATCAAGGACTACCTGTATACAGGTAGTTCTTGACTTATAACCAATCATTTAGGAACCGTTTGAAGTTATGACACACCTTTGCAAGGCTACTTAAAACCAGGATTTGAAATTCTGACTTTTCTCTCCCCACCCCCCCCCCTTGGGCCACGTGATTACCGTACATTTGGGGTGTTTGGCAACTGGCCTGCATTGATGGTCATCTGCACTGTCCCACAGTCATCATGATTTACATTTGTTGCCTGAAACCAGCATTCGCTTCTGGTTTCCGGCAAAAAAAACCCCACTGCTGACAATGGATTCACTTAACAACCATCAAAAAAAGGGTCATAAAAACAGGCATCGTCCCCTGGTGACCTATTTAACAACTGACATGACTTATTACCATAATCCCAGACTCAGTTATGGCAGTAAGTTGAGGACTCTTTGCATAGAAGTATACAGTATTGGGTTGTGCATCAGATCAATTTTTCCCCCCTACTGTTTTCCTGGCAGGGTTTCCTTTGGAAGCTTTTTAGAACGTTACAGGCTGCTGAAGAAATTAAAGGAACAAAATCTGAAAGCCACATCCAGTCAAGAAAATGGCTTTTGGCCTGTTGCAGGGAACGGTAAGTTCTTTAAGGTTGCATCTTCTGGTAATAGCATGGATTATCTCTAATACTAATTGACTTTTATCAGCTTGGGGTGTTCAAGGCCTTTAAGCTTCTCTTCCTTTTTTTATGTTTTGTTCACTTTCTTTGCTCTTTACATTCCTGCCTCTCCTTTTGAATGTTCTGAAACATTAGTGAATTTGCAGATTGTAGAAGTCATAGACTATCTAGTAGCATGTATGGAATACAAGCAGAATAGGTTTCTGGTAAAAAAAATCTAACCTCTGGAAAAATATAGCCAAATATGTATGAATTCAGAGATGGCCACTTGAAGAATTACACTTACAAATAAATCAGTGGTCCCTTTTGGTAGGGAAGTAGATCTCATTTATCATTCTTTTTTAGAAAAATAAGCCCCTAACATTCTAATCTGGGAAGGGTTATTGAGCGTTTGATTTGGTTTCTTATGTTTTTGTTGTCAGCAAATTAAATGAATTGCCCGTTATCTTTCCAACTTTTTGGTTTGGGTTTTGGTTTTCCTAGTTCTCCTTGGATTCTTCTTCCACTCTTGACCAAACTTGCTTCTCTCTACGGCAGCCTCTCTCTCTCTCCAAGCAACACACTTCACCCCTCTCTCCTTGCTTTAGCAGAACAAGGCTGGCTAGTAGAGGTAAGCTTAGATTAGAATTTCCTTGCCACGGGCCAGACCACATGGGTTGGTAGCACCCATTCAAACAGGAGGGGATGTTGTGTGGTGTTTTGCAAGCTCCAGCCAAGCCCAAGGGCCACTTCCAAGTCTGGTTGGGTAGAAAGCAGCTATGGAGAAAACGTGAGAGGAGGGAGGTTGGTGGGTATTCCATAGTTCTTCCATCCATGTATGGTAGGGGAACCTACTCTCCTACAGATGTTGGGATTCTCATTGCCCATCCAACATGGCTAGCCGTCACTCACGATGGAAGGTGTAATCTCAACAAAATTGGAAGGCTGATTTTCTAACTCAGCCGTGGAGCTCTAAGGGGCCATTCTCTCAACTTAGTGAGATAAAATGTATGTTTTTATTTGTGGTTTTTATTGATGTGTAGTGTGCACTGGGGATAGCATTCAATTTCGTTGTGAGATACACAATGACAATAAAGATATTCTTCTCTACTCTACTCTACTCTACTCTACTCTATTCTTACTCTATTCTACTCTATTCTACTCTACTCTACTCCTATTCCAGTGACGGCGAACCTTTTAGAGACCGAGTGCCCAAACTGCAACCCAAAACCCACTTATGCATCATCAAGTGCCGGGTGCGTGTGGCCCATTGGCTGGGCATGGCCCATTGGCTGGGCGTGGCTGCGGTGGTAACGGCAGACTGGACGGGACTAAAAAGTTCAATCAATCAATTACAACCTTGCAAGATTTTTTTTTCCCCGCGAGAAGTTGAAATTGACTGATTGATTGAAACTTTTTCTTTTTTTGCACACGGCGGCGGAGGCCTAAAGCGAAGGCCTAGGACTGGGGCGATGGCGCGTGTGCCCATAGAGAGGGCTCTGAGTGCCGCCTCTGGCACCCGTCCCATAGGTTCGCCACCACTGTCCTATTCTATTCTATTCTATTCTATTCTTATTCTTATTCTTATTCTATTCTATTCTTATTCTACTCTATTCTGCTCTACTCCTATTCTATTCTATTCTATTCTAATATTATTCTACTCTACTCTACTTTACTTATTCTTATTCTACTCTACTCTACTTCTGTTCTATCCTATCCTATCCTATCTCACAGAACTGTTGTGGATAACTGAGCCAGCAATTATTCTCGCAAGTCATGACTGTTGTTAAGCAGGTGACACACCTGGTTTTATGATCGTGTTGGCATCTGTCATAAAGCAAATGCCATGGTCATGAATGCCAGTTTCTGGGGGGGGGAATCATAAATTATGATCACGTGATTACAAGATGCTGCAAATGGCCAAAATATGGTCACATGATAATGGGGGGAGAGGGAGAAACAGCCATTGTAACTTTGAATCCAGGTCATAAGTCCCTTTTTCGGGGTCTGTTGTAACTTTGAGCAGTCACTATGCAACCAGTCATAAGTCAAGGTTACTACTTGTAGATTCAGTAAAGAAGACAGGATCCACAAACGTTGCACCCATTCCATGCTGGAAGGGAAAGATTGTGTATGTTTAAATCTCAGAGCCTCATCTGCTTTGCCATTTCCAAGGCGTTTTAATTAGTCCTGTTTTATTTAGCACTTGTTAGGTACAAGCCCATGTAGTTTGGCCCACAGTGACTGCTAATATTTTAAAACATTTTCATGATTTTTTAAAATTCTTTTAACAGGCAAATCAGGGACTCCTCCTGTAAAAGAAGAAGGTGACATTTTGCAGTCTGAGGTCCAAGATATCCTTCAGCAAGTGAAACCCAGTAATTCTTCCGTCAAACCTGGAGAAACCAGATCACACAATCTATCAATGTTTTGTGGCAAGACCAAAATATTTTTGACCAGCTCCATGGTAAGAAGCATCCAGCAAGTTCTGGAAAGGAAAGGAAAATGTTGGCTGGGGGTGGAGTCATGCTGATTTTTGCCAAGATAGAATTCTGTAACATCGAAGGTTTCTAGCCCTCATGAGGATACATGAAACACAGGACTGGGAGATGGAGGCAAAGCGCTTTGGTGACTTAGGTTCAGGTCTCCCCATTCTTCCTCATCTCCACCTGCCTTGAATGTGGGGAGAAAACGAAATCATTTTGATTGGCATAACTGTTTTGTAAACCAGAAAAAAGAGGATGAAGTTTAGCCCTGAGCATGTAGCCTTGACTCTTGTAATAATAATAATAATAAAGTTGGAAGGTACCTTGGAGGTCATCTAGTCCTTTTTCATGAGGCAATTGGACTTTCTTGTTTTTAATAAGAATAAGAAAGTTGGAAGAGGCCTTGGAGGTCATCTAGTCCAACCCCCTGCTCAGGCAGGAAATCCTATATACCATTTCAGACAAATAGCTGTCCAATCTCTTCTTAAAGACTTCCAGTGTTGGAGCATTCACAGCTTCTGGAGGCAGGTTGTTCCACTGATTAATTGTTGACTCTGGGGGAAAATAAGGGTGTATGTGTGTATGTGTCAGGATAATAATTTAATAGCTAAACAGCTTATGTAATGGGGTAATGCAATGTAAGGTGGATGATGCAATAATAGGAATGACTCAGCAGGTGTGTGTATCCCTTTAAGAGCCTGAGTATAAAAGGGAAGGCTTTTTGCTGCTGTGTTCTCTCTTGTCCATTTCCTGCTCTAACTGCTGTGTATTGGAGTTTGCTGTTTCACCACCTGTATGTATTTTATTTCTAGTGTATATTTGTAGATATAGTGTAATATAAGCCACCATTTAATACAAACCACTGTTTATTTACTCCTGGGTTACCTCAGCGCAATAAGACTGTGCATGCTCTGACAGTATGTGTGTAGGAATTTGTTTTGGCTACAGCCGGGTCCAACAAGAAAATCTTTTTTTTTATATTCTTTTTCATAGCTGGAGCTTCTCGAATTCCAAAGGGCTTCTATCTTATCCGAGAAAGCGTACTGCATCCAGTGCTTTTGGAGAAGGTTTAGGAGGAAGAAAGTGGCCAGGCAGAGATGGTCTGCAACCATCATCCAATCAGGTGAGGGGGAAAGCTTATATACTGAGAGGTCTGGAAGAACTTCTACATGTCCTTTGAGAGAGGAGACAGAGCTCAGAGTGAAAGGTTTGCTTTGCAGGTTCAATCCCTGAAATTTCAAATTAAAGGGACCAAATTAGGGAGAAGCCTCCTTTCTCCCACTGGAAAGTCTTAAAAACACTGGAGGTTTTTAAGAAGAGACCAGACAACCGTTTGTCTGAAACGATGCCGGATTTCCCGCTTGAGCAGGGGGTTGGACTAGAAGACCTCCAAGGTCCCTTCCAGCTCTGTTATTCTGTTATTTCCCCAAGTCCCAAGAAAATCAGAAAGGAGCCATTTGTCCTAGTACAGTGGTGGCGAACCTATGGCACGCGTACCAGAGGCGGCACTCGGAGCCCTCTCTGTGGGCACATGTGCCATTGCCCCAGCCTTGCCTCCTCCCGTGACCCACTCCTCACCAGCAGCCCCCCTGGAGGAGAGTCGCCCCCGAGTGTGGCCCATGTGGAGCAGCGCAGCTAAGAACATGGCAGCCAGGCAGCGTAGACAAGAATCTGGCCTCACGCCTCATCGTGCACAGTTGATGCTGCGGGGCGCGGGCAGAGGGTGTGGCGCTGCTGGGCTGCCTGGGCGATCGGTGGGCCCTGGAGGTGGTGAGTGGCCTTGCGGGAAGGTGGGGTGGGGGCAGGGCAGGGGGGTGGAGCAGGGCCGGGGCCAGTTTTTGGGCACTCAGTCGCTAAAAGGTTCACCGTCACTGTCCGAGTATAAGAGAGTTGCTATTTGTGTCCCACTAGCACAGTGGTTTCCAACTTGAGGCAACTTCACGTTGTGTGGAATTTCAAATCCCAGTCAGCATAACTGACTGGGGAATTCTGGGAGTTGAAGTTCATGAGTCTTAAAGTTGCCAAGGTTGAGAAAGATTGCTTCTAGCATGTATATTTTTTTTCTCTTCTTTTGGTAGCTGTTCGCCAGTGGTTAACTAGGAAACATTTCCAGAAGTTACGTAAAGCTGTTAGGATTATAAAACAGGCCTGGAAGAAATGGAAGGTAAGAGAAACAAGTTTGACAAGGTAAAAAAAATCATCCAGGTGTTTGTTTGTTTTTTTTGAAAACTGGAAACAAAAGGAGGTGCATGCTGCAATTCTGGGCAAAGACCCAAGCAAGCGGGGTTTTTTTAAAGTGTTTTTCAAGAGTTTCTAGTCCTTATGACTGCAAATGCATTAAAACATGTTGGTGAAGAGTCTAAAAGAGTTTGGGTGGAGGCATTGACAGAACTGGAGGCTTTCCTCAAAATGATGCAGACAGCATCATAAAGAATTGCACTGTTGCAACTTCAAATGGTCACTAAATGAGTGATTATAAGTCAAGGACTACCTGTAATCTCTTTTTTTTAATGATTGCATACTTGAGATTAGGCAGCTGTACTGCTTCCAGATTATTTAATCCAGAAGAGAAATAAATCTTCCTGTCATGGCTCCGATAGACGAGACTAGTAAAAGCAGAATTCCAAGGCAAAAGGTTTCCTTATTAAAGAATGTGTTTATTGGCTACAAAGTATCGGCACAGTCAAAAATGAAACCAAGTTTGGAGTTCCCTCCCAGATGTTACAATGTTACAAAGTTGAACCCCCCCACTCCAGCACTATGTAATCAACTACGTTCCCCAATAAAATACTTCAGCGAGCTTTCTAACGGAGGATTCAGCCCGCCAAACATCAGGCAGCAATGACCTTGGTTCCCATGGGACAAAATATTGTTTAGACCAGGGGTAGGCAACTTTGGCTCTTTTATGACTCGTGGACTCCCAGAATTCCTGAGCCAGCCATGCTGAGGAGAAAGGGAGAGGTAGCCATGCTAGCTCAGGAATTCTGGGAGTTGAAGTCCACGAGTCATAAAAGAGCCAAGGTTGCCTACCCCTGGTTTAGACTAACTTTAAAACCACTCATCCCTCCTCCCTGTACTGCGGCAACCGAAAATGAAACAAAAATGGCTTCAGCCAAGATCATTGCAATGTTGTTGTTTTTTTAAATAAATTTTTATTAATAATACAAAAGTAAAAACACATTGGACATAGATATGACGTCACTGGTTCCATACATCTTCTGACATTTTACAGTAGTATTAGTACTCATATAGACATATAGTTCTTGAGCTTTGCTCACTATTTATAATATAATATTAACACTTTTTCCCTTATTTCTGTATATCTATTTATCTTTTAAATATACATTTGTCTATAATCTATATTTTATTCTAGCACTATACATTTATCTTGGCTACCCTCTTATTGTCTATCCAATCATAAAATTGGTCCCAGATTTTGTAGTACTTAGTTTCACTTTTATCCTTGAGTTCCCATGTAAGTCTATCCATTTCAGCGCAATTGAAAATTTTCAGTAATATTTCCTCTTCAGTTGGAGTATCTTTCTCTTTCCATTTTTGAGCGAAGGCTATTCGTGCCGCTGTTACTATATGCCAGTGGTGGCGAATCTATGGCACGGGTGCCAGAGGCGGCACTCAGAGCCCTCTCTGTGGGCACGCGCGCCGTCGCCCCAGTCCTAGGCCTTCAGCTGGGTTTTATAAAACCTTTTCGCTTTAGGCCTCCGCTGCCATGTGCAAAAAAAAAATAAAAGGTTCAATCAGTCAATTTCAACTTCTTGCAGGAAAAAAAAAGATCTTGCAAAGTTGGAATTGATTGATTGAACTTTTTAGTCCCACCCAGTCTGCCGTTACCACTGCAGCCACGCCCACCCAATGGGCCACGCCCACCCAATGGGTCACACCTACCCAATGGGCCACACCCACCCGGCACCCGACAATGCATAAGTGGGATTTGGGTTGTAGTTTGGGCACTCAGTCTCTAAAAGGTTCGCCATCACTGCTATATGCAGTAGTAAATAATTTGTATCTTTCTTATATTTTCCTTCTATAATTCCCAATAAAAATAATTCCCGTTTGGCCTCTATTATCTATTAGCAAAATTTAAGATCATTGCAATGTTGATGCTTCCCTTTCTCAAAGATGACTTGGTGGATAAATCGGAGTATTTTTTCTTTTCTTTTCCGTAGACCAAGATGGCTGTGATAGCTGCAGAAGAACTGGATGGCATGGAAGAACATCCCTCTCTCCTCGGAAAAGCTGCTTCCTCACGCCAGGCTGCTAAAAAACTGGACGGGTCCTGGCCTCTGAATTCCATCATCCACTCCTGGCCTCTCAGTCTTGTTCTATCACGCGCCCCGACGACACTTGGGGGGCTCCAGAGAGACCTTGCTCTCCTAACGTGCCTCCAAGTCTTAGAGAAGGTGAGCTGGACCAAGGCGGAGACCAGGCTCCCAGTCGTAGGTGTCAGCTCCATCCGAGCTCCTCCACAGGTAAGGACGATTGTTACACATGCTTCCAGGTTTGGCTTAAGAGTTTTGCTCACTTACATGCTCACTGTTGTGGCTCCGTCTTGTGAGCCCCTTTTATCGGAGGAAGAAGGCTCCGAACATGAAGGAGAGGAGATGGCTAGGCCTCCCTCTCCAGGACCTTCCTCTTTGGCAATGCCTCAGATGTCTTCCGACAGAGAAGAGATTGACCAGGAGCCAGGTGGTTCAGAGATTGGCCAGGAGCCCGGTATTTCTCAGATTGGCCAGGAGCCAGGTGTGTCGGATAATGAGGAGAAGTTGTGGCTGGATCCACGCCAGCGTAGAAGCAACAAGCGTGCCCAGCAGAAAAAGAGACGTGCCACAGATTAAGCTGAGTCACTGGACCACACCCCACAGGCTATAAAAGGGTGGTGGTGGCCATTTGGTGGAGACACTGCCTGTTTTCGACTTAGAGACCGTTTCATCACACGACACCAAAATTTGACACACATAACAAAAACAAAGACCCACAAACCTCATTTTCCAGAACCGTCCGTCGATGCCTCGACGACGGTTCAAAGATATCGGTGAAGTGGTGTCTGGAGAAGTCTTTAAACCCTCGGCTGGCTGTTTGGGTGTGTGGGTTGGAACGGGGACAGAACACTCACATCCCTTGAAAACAGCCAGGCTTAAATCCTTTTCCGCCAAACACTGAGGCACCACCAATTTTTATTTTTATTTTTAATATATGGAGACCCAGTGAATGTAAAATAATTCCCATGTTAGCCTTTCCTAGCATAGTATAGGTCAGGGATAGGCAACCTTGACTCTTTTAGGACTTGTGGACTTCAATACCCAGAATTCCTGAAGCAGCCATGCTGACTCAGGAATTCTGGGAGTTGAAGTCCATAAGTCATAAAACAGCCAAGGTTGCCTTCCCCTGGTATAGGTAGTCCTTGATCTATGACAGCGGGGAACCGAATTTCCGTTGCTAAGCAAGACCCATTCTTGAGTCGCACCCGATTTTATGACTTTTTTTTTTGCCACGGTTGTTAAGTGAATCACTGTGGTTACAAGAATCACGCAGTTGTTAAGCGAATTCAGCTTCCTTCATTGATGTTCGTTTTCGGAAGCCGGCTGGGAAGGTGGCAAATGGCAATCACGTGACCCGGAGATGCTGCAACCATTATAGATGCATGCCGGTTGCCAGGCACCCGAATTTTGGTCATGTGACCATGGGGATGCTGAGGTGGTTGCAAGTCACCTTTTCCCATGCTATTATTATGACTTCAAAAAGTCGCTAAGCAAATGGTTTGTAAGTCAAGGACTACCTGTAGCTGTTTTATCTTACGGAATATGTACATATATATGGAGGCTACTGGACTAATTAGCTGGCCCCACCACCCCTCCGTGCTTCCCAGTCCCCCCCCCTTCGCCCATCTTTTTTTAATTTCACATTATTGTACTTCCATTCTGTATTGTTTTATTCTGTTACCGTATATTTACGAGTCACCCAGAGTAGCCCCATGTAACGATGGGGGTCAAATACATTTAACGTGAATATATCCACATAAAATAATTAAATAGATCGCACGCTTGCTGTTATCACTGGGCATTGTTTTAGAAAAGTATGCTAGCTGTGCCCCAGTTTGTCTTCACTGTAAATAACCATCTAAATGGCTTCATGTTTTATGGCGTTTTGCAATTATTGTCTTTTTTTTAAATTTGTATAATGGCTTGGTAATCCAGTATCTTTTTTTCCCCCCCTCAGGGCTCCATCAAGTTCCACTGCAGGAAGTCCCCGCTGCTTTATGCCAACACCAGGCCATACAGCCACAGCTGCATAGTGGCTGGGTTCAACCAGATTCTCCTTGAGCAGTGTGCAATACCTTGAGTCTGCAAGGGTCCTTTGGGATCCTTGATCTGCCCTGTATTTATTGCTCCTGGTAATATCTTCTTCTTAGGCTGCTTCCTGGAGGACTAGAAAACTTAACTTAAGCACTTCTTCCACATAAAGAAATGGTCTAAAACAGTGTTTCCCAACCTTGGCTGCTTTAAGAGGTGTGGATTTCAACTCTCAGAATTCTGGGAGTTGTAGTCTACACATCTTAAAGCAGCCAAGGTTGAGAAGCACTAGATGCAGAAGTAGAGTCCTGGTCCACTCATTCAATCCATCAATTTATTAAAATAAATTGTACTCCTTTTCCCCATTTGATGTTTTTTTAACGGCCACATAATTATATTCATTTATTACCAAAGTCACCATTTTAATGTAGCGAGAACTTTATATTTTCAAAAAAAAAATTCTACCACGCTTTGTCGGTGTTACCAACATAATGAAGAAAAAGCTCAAGGCCCTGGGCATTTTTAAAAAACAAACAAACATATATATAAAGAGTTATTTTAAAATTTTCTTGTGAGATGCAGCTGTTTTGTTCAAAATATTTCTTAAAATGTCAGGGAAAAGAATAAATAAATTATTAAAAGGCAGAGGACAAAACAATAGTCTCCGAGCACTCTTCCCAATTTCTGGGTTACATTATATATACTGTATAAATTAAGATGTAATAAACGTNAAACAAACATATATATAAAGAGTTATTTTAAAATTTTCTTGTGAGATGCAGCTGTTTTGTTCAAAATATTTCTTAAAATGTCAGGGAAAAGAATAAATAAATTATTAAAAGGCAGAGGACAAAACAATAGTCTCCGAGCACTCTTCCCAATTTCTGGGTTACATTATATATACTGTATAAATTAAGATGTAATAAACGTGAGATTGTTATAAGTCTTGTGGGTTTATATTCTTACTTCATTGGTTTTACATTCCAGAAGTAAAATAATAATAATAAAGTTGGAAAGGACCTTGGAGGTCATCTAGTCCAACCCCCTGCTCAGGCAGGAAACCCTATACCAGGCATGTCAAACTCACGACATCATGTGACGTCGCCCAATGTATCGGGCCGGTTTTACCATTGCCGGCAATGGGATGGGCGCGGCTTCTACGTGATGCGTCCGGCCCGTGGGTCGGCAGTTTGACACCCCTGCCCTATACCATTTCAGACAAATGGTTGTCCAGTCTCTTCTTAAAAACTTCCAGTGTTGGAGCATTCATAGTTTCTGGAGGCAAGTTGTTCTGTCAGGAAATTTCTCCTTAGTTCTAGGTTGCTTCTCTCCTTGATTAGTTTCCATCCGTTGCTTCTTGTCCTGCCTTCAGGGGCTTTGGAGAATAGCTTGACTCCCTCTTCTTTGTGGCAGCCTCTGAGATATTAGGAGACTGCTATCATGTCCCCCCTCGTCCTTCATTAAACTAGACATACCCAATTCCAACAACTGTTCTTCATATGTTTTAGCCTCCAGTCCCCTGATCATGTTTGTTGCTCTTCTCTGCACTCTTTCTAGAGTCTCAACATCTTTTTTTACATCGTGGTGACCAAAACCGGATGCAGTATTCCAAGTGTGGCCTTACCAAGGCATTGTCAAGTGGTATTAACACTTCACGTGATCTTGATTCTATCTTAAATCTTAACTCTCCTTCCATTCCCAGGTAATATAAAATCAGGCCAACATTCAAAAAGTAGACTTTATTAAAGAATAAAAGCATCTTTCTCCCTTTCAAAACCAGCCACTTTCTGAAACCGACAAGGATTTGTAGTTCAAAAAAATTCTGCTTGTGAAAATCACACACACACACACACACACCATGCCTGGATCAACAGTTCTTGGAAGCAGCCTGGCCCATTCTGTCCCAAGGGATTCTAACACAGTCAGCAGTACATAAGACAAAGTATTTCCAAATTTCCTAGCTGTCTTCTCCAGGGCTGGAGAAACCTCTACTTAACTCCACTAGACATTTACTCTGGAGTTTCCTTCTCTTCCATCTCCGACTCGACAATCCTTAGGCAACAATCTGCAAACTCCGCAAAGACCGGTTCCTGCATATATTTTCTCATGAGAACGCTCTTGTCCTTGGCTTGGTCAATCGTTAGCAGCAGTGTGTGGAGGTGAGGATTTGAAAGGATGTCTTGGAGCTCTTCCGATTCCTCTGTTTTTAGAAAAGGGGGGGGAGGAAGAAAGATGAGCTGATCAAGATTAGCAAAAATGTTTAAAAACATGTCAGATAGATGTCGGAAATGTAAACACAAGTCAGCTACTTATTACCCTGTTTGATGGACGTGTACCAAAAAGCAAAGAGGTATTGGGAAAAAATACATACTTGGCTAGAAAAAGATGTTGGGAAAAACACGTAGATTTTAAACCTGACCTTTTTTTTAATTAGGTATAATGTCAGAAAAGACTGACAAAAACAAAGCATATGTTTGATTTTACATGTAATAACAGCGGCCAGAATTATATTCGCACAATGCTGGAAAAATGCAGAAATGCCATCGGGAAGAAATAATTAAAAAAAATACTAGAATGTTCGGAGATGGACAGACTTACTTTGAGGTTGAAAGAAAAAGAAGAAACAGAATATTATCAAACTTGGGACAAACTTGGCTAGAGAAAGAATAAAGGATTGGGAAATAAATGTGCGTTAGTGAATGTAAAACTCAGACAACACGTTTGTTGAACAAGTACTATTGAATGTATGAAAAAACCAATAAATTTTTTATATATATAAAAAAAAGATGAGCTGAGGATTTAGATATGGAAAGTTCTCGGCATCTAAGATATCTGAGGATCAGGGGCAAGTCAAATACAGGTTGCTGTTGTTAATTGCGAAGTCGTGTCCGACCTATCGCGACCCCATGGACAACGTTCCTCCAGGCCTTCCTGTCCTCTACCATCTTCTGGAGTCCATTTAAGCTCACGTCTACTGCTTCATTGACTCCATCCAGCCACCTCATTCTCTGTTGTCCCCTTCTTCTCTTGCCCTCCATCTTTCCCAGCATTAGGCTCTTCTCCAGTGAGTCCTTCCTTCTCATTAGGTGGCCAAAGTACTTGAGTTTCAACTTCAGGATCTGGCCTTCTAAGGAGCAGTCAGGGTTGATCTCCTCTAGGACTGACCGGTTTGAACGCCTTGCAGTCCAGGGGACTCGCAGGAGTCTTCTCCAGCACCATAGTTCAAAGGCCTCAATTCTTTGGCGCTCAGCCTTTCTTATGGTCCAACTAATCCTTCATGGATTACTGCCTCGTAGTGAAGGGGCTTGTGTAACTCAAGGAAGCTATGAGCTATGCCGTGCAGGGCCACCCAAGACGGACAGGTCACAGCAGAGAGTTCTGACAAAATGTGATCTACTGGAGAAGGAAATGGCAACCCACTCCAGTATCTTTGCCATGAAAACCCCATGGATAGTACCAAAAGGCAAATACAGGTAGTCTTCGACTTACAACCAAAATTGAGCCCAAAATTTCTGTTGCTAAGTGAGACAATTGTTAAGTGAATTTTGCTTGGCTTATATTTATGACTGCAGTGTCCCAGGAGTCACGTGATTAACTTTTGCAACCTGCTAAAGTCAATGGAGAAGCCAGATTCACTTAACAACCGTGCTACTAAACAATTGCAGGGATTCACTTAACAACTCTAGCAAGAAAGCCGTAAAATGGGGCAAAACTCACTTAACAATTGCCTTGCTTAGCAACAGAAATTTTGGGGCTCAATTGTCGTAAGTCGAGGACTTCCTGTGCCTGTGCAATCAGAAATTGCTTATTTTTTAATCAGTTCCCTCCATGGCAAGGAAATCACCAGGATTTCATTAGTAACCTCATTGAAACAAATATTTTACAGGCGATTGAAATATGATAGTTTCCTCAACTATAAGACAACCGTTGAGTATTTTATGCCGAAAACTTACTCAACAACTGAAGTTTCTGGAGAGGCACCCTATCGCCTTCGTCATCTTCGGTCAAAATGTCATCCAGAGACCAAGGACTGCCTAAAAAGAAGGGAGACAACTAAAGAGGTCCAGAAGAAGAAGCATCTGCACAGATCTTACCATTGTGATACAGGCCTTTGTTCATAATGACAGAGGGTCTCCTGCTTGAGCAGGGGGTTGGACTAGAAGACCTCCAAGGTCCCTTCCAACTCTATTCTTCTATGTTCCGTTTTTGTTTTGAAAAGTTACATAGTACTAAGCTGTAAAATTTCAGTTCTTGCATTCTTTCCAAAGCAGTGTTTTCCCAACCTTGGCAACTTTTAAGATGGGTGGACTTCAACTCCCAGAATTCCTCAGCCACCCTTCGATTCTGGGAGTTGGGAGTCTACCATCTTAAAGTTGCCAAGGTTGGGAAACATTGCTCCAAATAAAATGGTTTCCCCCCCCCCACCCCGAACAGAAAGAATACCCATTTTCCTTCCAACTCACTACTAAAAGTATATATATATACCTTCCGTCCTCCGTGATTTATCTCTCTGAATGGGGTAAGAAGCCTCTGACTCTGCAGGCCGTGTGGCTGGATCAGCTTTGGACGTGCACTCTTCTATTAAAATCCCAAACACACATTTTTAGTGACACACACACAGACACACACACACACACACACACTTCACAGTCTGTTCCTGTTGCTCCTCTCTGGGAAGAGGTTTTGAAGTATTTCCAGCAGGACTACCAGATTCTGTAACAGCTTTGTTCCCCTATGCCACCCGTCTGATAAACTCGCAAGATTCATTTTTCTCGCCATATACATGTATATATCCGAACTAGACTGTGCTGTTTCTCTGTCATAGAATTTATATGGGCATGTGGATATATGATTTTTTTGTTATATTTATGTAGTGTATATTGGAGGTGGTGACCCTTTGAGGGCTGTATGCAATGAAATTTCATTTTAATGTATGCTGATTAGTGTACATTTAAAGTGACAATAAAAGTTATTCTATTCTATTCTGTTCTCTTCTGTTCTAATTCTATTATTTTATTCTATTATTCTATTCTAATTCTATTATTCTATTCAATTCAATTCAGTTCTGATTCTATTCTACTATTCTATTCTATTCTATTATTCTAATTCTATTATTCTATTCCATTATTCTATTCTAATCCTATTATTCTATTCTATTCTATTCTGATTCTATTCTATACTATACTAATTCTATTATTTTATTCTATTATTCAGTTCAATTCAATTCAGTTCTGATTCTATTCTACTATTCTATTCTATTCTATTCTATTCTTCTAATCCTATTATTCTATTCTAATCCTATTATTCTATTCTATTATATTATATTCTGATTCTATTCTGATTCTATTCTACCCTAATTCTATTATTTTATTCTATTATTCTATTCTAATTCTATTATTCTATTCTAATTCTATTATTCTATTCTCTATTCTATTCTATTCTAATTCTATTATTCTATTCTATTCTATTTCTACTCTATTTCTTATTCTATTCTATTCTATTCTATTCTATTCTATTCCATTCCATTCTATTCCATTCCATTCCATTCCATATTCTATTCTCCTCAGTGTACCTGTTTGGAGTTACAGATCCTGCTCCCTGCTTTCCATCTCTTAAGGCCACAATTGCAAAACTCACAGACTTTATTCCAAATTGATTACTAGGTGGTCCTCAACAGATGACTTGAGCCCAGAACTGCAGTCGTTAACTGGGTCCAATTTTGGTCATGTCCAATTTTGTGACCTTTTCGGCAATGATCATTAAACAAATACCAAAGATGTTAAGTGAACCCAGTGGTCAATAATCAGATCAATTTACAATGGATTCCCCAGGATGAAAATGAGGAAAAAAAACAGTACAGAATTTGACCAGAAGGGAAACAATGCAAATAGGAAAAAAAAAATCAATGCGTCTCGAATTTATGGGACTTCAGATCCCATACACCCCATCCAATATGGACTTTGGAGAGGCTGGGACACAGAATTACAATTTGGATTAATTTGATTGGGACGCAGCTGAAAAGATAAATAATTTACCTTTGTGCTTCTTGTAACAGGGCACGGAACAACTGAAACGACAAGGGAATTACCCATCAGGGCAGGGGTTTTAAGAGCAAAAGAGTTAGAAAAGTATGGATTGATCCCAAGTTTCTGTATTTCAACCTATCTCGGGATCCAGTGGGAGGAATGCTCTCTGCACATGGGCAGAGAGGTCTCCTTGTTGCTCCTTCAGACGATGCAAGACTGAATGCCAACAGAGAAAGCAAATACTAGCCAGTTATGGGGGGAAAATAATTTGATTCCAGAAGCTGAGATTCACAGAACTCACTTAACTGGCTCATCAAATTTACCCCCTTTTCAAGATTCATATTATACACCAAAGTATCCGATTAGGCCAAAGACCTAGAATTGCACAACACAGATTTTTTTTTTAAAAAAAAAGAGAGAGCAACTAAACAAAACTGTAACCAAGATTGCCACATTTGGGGATGCATTTGCTAAATCAGAGTTTCTCACACTTAGGAACTTTTAAGATGTGTGAACTTCAACTCCCAGAATTCCCTAGCTGATAAATCAATTTTATCCAATGAGTGGGGTTGGTTTTTTTTGCCAGAAAACAGAATGCATAGCTGACTGGGGAATTCTGGGAGTTGAAGTCCACACTTCTTTAAAGTTCCTAAGTGTGAGAAACACTGTGCTAGATCTCTCCCTAACCTTTGTGTGAACATACAGCTGTTATGTTTCAACCTGAATCAACCCACAATTCTCCTGAAACATCCCGACGGATCATTCTTGAAATGGTGAAACAATTCTGGTTTAGAAGAGATTGCTCCTAAATAATCTCCCACTGCTTTACAGCAATGGCGAAGGAGAGAGGTGGGGAAGACCTTCAGTCCTGCCAGCGATCCCAGAATCATGCACGACCTACTTCTCCAGCCCTTGCAAGGGATCCCCTGAGCATATATAATAGGATATTATGAATATAAGCATATAGGAGGAGGAAAGTGTTTGATATGTTTGAAGAAATGATTAGGTAGGTAGGTAGGTAAGTAGATAGATTAGATGGATGGATGGATGGATGGATGGATGGATGGATGGATGGATGGATGGATGGATGGATGGATGGATGGATGGATGGATGGATGGATAGATAGATAGATAGATAGATAGATAGATAGATAGATAGATAGATAGATAGATAGATAGATAGATAGATAGATAGATCAGAGTTCCCCAACCTTTTGGGCACCAGGGACCGATTCCATGGAGAGAGGTTTTTCCACGGACCGGAGGGGGCGTGGTTTTGTGTGCTGCCTGCATCCCACGGATAAGGCTTTGCTTGGGGACCCCTGTGATAGGTAGGTAGGCAGGTAGGCAGGCAGGCAGGCAGGTAGGTAGGTAGGTAAGTAGGGAGATGATAGGGGGAGAGAGAGCGAGAGAGCAAAGTTTCCCAATCTTGGTAACTTTAAGATGGATGGACTTCAACTCTCAGAATTCCCCGAGACAGCCATCCTAAAAGTTGTCAAGGTTGGGAAACACTGATTTGGATAGATATTAGATATATTAGATAGATGACAGATATGGATGGGTAGATGATAGATAGAATAGGTAGATGATAGACAGAGAGACAGACAAGAGGTAGGGAGGGAGATAATGGGGGAGGAGGGAAAGAGAGAGAGACAGAGCAATGCTTCCGAATCTTGGTAACTTTTTTTTTTTTTTTTAAATTTGCATTTATATCCCTCCCTTCTCCTTTCGGACTCAGGGCGGCTGACAAATTAGATAAAATACTAACATATATACATATTATGCCTAATTAAAAATTTAATTAAAACAAAATATTTGAATATGCCCAATTAAAAGTAATTAAAACCCCTATAAAATCCCCTAGGCCAGTCCCGCTTGCTGGAACAACCACGTCTTGAGGGCGCGGCGGAAGGAAGGGAGATCAGGGATCACCCTGATCTCTGGGGGCAGTTCGTTCCAGAGGGTGGGAGCTCCCACAGAGAAGGCCCTCCCCCTTGGGGTCGCCAGCCGGCACTGCCTGGCCG